ACTAACAGCAACAAACTACTGTGAGAGAGAACAAACCAGATCGCTATGGAGGAAGAAATCAGGAAGAAGCACTAGAAGTGAATAGGACACATATGGAGGAAAGAACCAAATGCGTCACATATCAGACCCTCACATGAAATCATCAAGGCCAGAGGAAAAGAGGAAGACCAAAGAACACATTACGCCGAGAAATGGAAACAAACATGAGAAGAATGAACAAAAATTGGATGGAACTGGAGAGGAAGACCCAGGACAGAGTGGGTTGAGGGATGCATGTCGGTGGCCTATGCTCCTTTGAGAGTAGCAGGGGTAAGTGTTTTGTGATTTTTTAACGACTTTGTTGTCTACAGGAAAGGGTTGTTAACCTTCCTCATTTACGCGCGCTTGGGACCGCCAGTAATTCTATAAGAGCTACGGGCGGAGTTATTGAATAGATTGGTGAAGAATAATTGTCATGTCAATTGTAATCATTTGGTTTGTTACATTGACAGCTAATAAATTATGCATTATAATCAAGACTTAATAACATAGTTCATTGGTGAATGTACAATGATTATGTGATGTGTGCTACTGATGATGACAGATATAAGTAGTACTCATCATCTCTTGATGAAAGAAAGTTAAGAAGATCGACAAAAAGAAAATGAGGATTTAATACGATTGGTGTGGAAACGAAAGAACAATCAAGTCTCAGACGATTGTACTATAACGTTCTGTAGTTGTATGTTCAAATACATTTGATTGTCTCCACTTGTGTTCTCGTTCACTACAACTTTGTCTACAAATAGTTTTAAAGCTTAGTTTACACTACCTTTCAGTATTTGATGAACTGAATCGTATTTAAGAAGTATCTGTTTATTCATTGAGAATAGGGGGTGTAGGGTGCTATTTGAATTGTAAGCAAGAAACTAGAGGATAACCACTATTGCATGTATAAACTCAGTACAGTAAATGTTTGTCATTATCACATATAAGTGGTTGCAAGAAATTCATTCTAGAGAACTACTACCACCATCATCAAACAGATACAAGTATTTATAAACAGTTGTGTACATAAGTTACTGAATGCCTGTTAACCGGTTACCATAAGCAACAGACTACTGTGGAAGAGCACATAACAAATTCCATTTGAGGAGAAAATAAGAAAATAAGTTGAATGTGGATAGTACATACATTACAAAAGTCATCAGATTGCATCACGAGGCAATCAGTAACTTGAAATCCTGAATGGAAACGAAAAAGAGGAGAGTCAAAGAACACACTGCGTCGAGAAATGGAAGCAGACATGGAAAGGATGAATAGAAACCGGAAACAACTGGAAAGGATTGTCCAGGACAGAGTTGGATGGCGAATGCCAGTGTGTGGTCTTTGCTCCTCCACGGGGAGTAACAGGCGCTAGAGACTTTGAATCACATGGCATAGGTGCATCCCGTCTTTATGTTCTCCTAAATTCTAATCTTCTGAATTCTCCATTTCCCCATCATTTTCTTTCTCTTTCCAAATTTATTTCAATGGATTATACTCCTTTAATAACATTTTCAAACCCTAATCTTTCCGATTACTGCTTATGCTCTTACTACTACTATCACTATGGGATTTGAATCGACAATTGTACCTCTGTGCTGATATAGTATGGCAACTCGAACTGATGTACGTACATATGAAGTTCTACGTTGTTACTGACTGACTGACTCACTGACTGGAAACTGCTACTACAGGTTTATGCATCGTGAGTTCGATCGATAAGTCACTAAATCTCTAATTGATGGTATCATTACGTCATGCATATTGATAGAGGCACAAACCCATAGGTTATTACAGTATACTACGAAGATATATGATTATGCATATTATACATTTCTCTTATTCATTTAATGCCTAGTTCATTCGTTTCTTTTTTTCTTCTTCTAAATATAACTAATACACTAACTAACATTGTTTGTTTGAAGTTAGAAATTAGTACTCTAGTCCCTTTATGTTGACTTCTTTTTGTGGCCATAGTAATTACCTTCTATGTAATTGTAGCAATCAGAAATGGGAAGTTTTGTTAACAAATAAAAAAGGGGGAAATTATTCCAAGACAATTGTGTAGATACTGATACGGCTAATTACTTGATACTTGGAATACAAAGATTATGATTAGAAGTGGAATCACACCGATTCATTTCGTTCTATTTAGGTGCGCTGGCAGTTTATTGTTATTGTTCACATCAAAAGTTGAATCCAGTAACTTAGGCATTTAGTGTGAATTGGTTATTCACTGAACGATTGAGTCCAGATAGCCATGAGATTGGGTTCGAAGTCCAAGATAAATATCAACGATGGGTTACAAGTAAATTTAGGAAAATAATCTTAACTGGGACAAAATTCTGGTCTTTGATTCTATTACTAGCAAACGTTTGTCTATTCCATAGAATTGGCGAAAACTATTATGTCGATACAATCTACACATGATACATGTATATATACTAACAAAGATTGATCGCTTGTAATTCTGAATATCATTCAACCTCTTAAACGTAACGATATGAAAATATTCACTGTTGTAAGAATGGGTACAAAAGGGATTTTGTGAATATTGTGGTAATTTCAATGGTTTAGATCACGAGTCAGTTGAAGCGTGACCAATATGGAAAACCTCGAAGCACTGGACGGTTGTTTCGTTCTATTGTAATACTCCTCAACAGTGCGCATCCACGATCCTGATTCGCGAGAATCAAACTCAGGACATATCACTCTCACGCGTGAGCGTTTGAACATTAGACTACTTAACCAGCTGGCATCCGACGGAGTTAATGTCTAACTTTAACTAATCCACGAAATTGCTCGATGAACATAATACATTACTAAAATATTTTAGTATTAAATCAATTATTCAAAGCTTACCCATAATGTGGTATTCGTTTATGATTATATCTGTTTTGTGTATATCTCTATTGTAAAGACGGCCTACGGGTGAATTTGAATAAGCTCTAAGAAGCTGAGAAGGATTCGAAGGTTCTAGCGTTCGAGTACTCTAGTTGTATGCGGTTTATCAAGAATCTTAATTCTAGACATAACATTCATCAATGATGAGTATGTTTGATTCAGTTCGTATATCATTTTCACAAAAATTTAAAGTATATTATTCAGTCAAATATGTAATTTGAATGTTTCTGTTGCAGGCAGATTACCTTAGAACTCAAGTTTATTCCATTTGGTACTTGTCAACAAAGTAAGCAAGACCAGTCAATCTCTTTTTTCGATATACGTCTGATGAGAAGGAGTAGCGGTTCATTAAAATGATTCATATTTAGAAAACAAACAAGAAATGGTCAGCTGACCAACTTCTATAACTGGGTTGCTTTAAGCAGAAAGAGAAATCTTATTTTATCGAATATATCGGATATGCATTATGGAATGCATTGACGAAGAACTCGCATTCCTCAGGACATCTCTGATGAAAACTAGTTATATTAATTGCTCCATATATATGAATATGAAAAGAAGTCACTGTGATAAGAAATTCGGTTGTTCCATTCCAAAGAAAAATATCTCTATAAGTTTAGAATTTAAAGATGATCAAACTTCTGATGTAAACAAAAATTGTTTAACGACAGCAACTAAAAGAACATTCAATGCGGCAAAGCTGCAAATAATATTCAGTACCAAGAATTTACTTTCTGTATCCATAAAAGAGAAGATTTCCCGTCTGACCACCTCCATGTACATCTACCAGTATACATGGCTTTGTGAAGCAAGGCACAATGGCCGTAACCAGCGATCACTTTTAACTTGGATACAGGAATACGTTCCTGTTTAGTTCTACAACATCGACAGGAAACATGTTAAGAGTTCTATACTTGAACATTTGGAACACATCAGCTGTATGTAAACTCATTCAATTAAGCACTCGAACACAATACTGTATCCTTCAAACGCTATCGTGCTAACTATTTAGCTACTGAGCCCTGATAACCACTAAGTAGATAGTTTGGTGGAAACAAACGATACTGGATTCGAGTTCTGGAGTCTACATCAACACTTCAATGCAGATACATATGGCTGATGACTTTGAAATAGGACGATACCCATATCCTAGATTTCATTATATTCAAACTTATAATGCTTGTAACCTGAGGTAATATTTAGTCAACCTGTACAAGACACATATATGCTAATAAGAGATTGATCAAATACAGTTCTAAATATCAATTCAAGTAAATAACAATACTAAGTTGTCAACTTATAATCAAAGATGGAAAGAATGAATAACCCATATAAACTCATTGCTTAATGACCATAAACCTAATCTAAGTTTGTTTTTCCTTCTTTATTTATTCTTTTCTATCTTACTTTCTCTCATTTACTCTACAAATGAATGAATAAATAGAGGTGTTGCTTCATTTAAGTAGTTTCTTAATTATAAGGATAAATAATAGAAGAAGGTTTGTATGAATATTATAGTAATTTTAATAGTTGAGATCATGAGTTCATTGAAACTAGATCGCCATAGAAAACTTGGAAGAACTGGATGGTCATTTCATTCTAATGAGGGACTCTTCAGGCGTTCGCGTCCACGATTGTTTAGCTTGAATTGATTCATGATCTTAAACATTGAAATTAATATAATATGCAAAAAACCACTTCTGATACTAATCAACATATGCTCAGTAGTGACTGACTTCAAGAGGTATTTCCTGGAATTCTAGTGAGAAGCCGTTACCAATGGAGTTCAACCGTGTCTGTTTTGAAGTAGTAACTCACTGATGACAATGGTGGATGTGCTGCTCAATTTGGTGGAATAGTTAAGGTTAAACATTAACATGATTGGATGCTGGCTGGTTCAGTGGTCTAGTTGGTTAGGCGCCTGCCGCGAGGTTGGTAGGTCCTGTGTTCGAATCTCGCGAGGCGAGATCGTTGATGCGCACTACCGAGGAGTCACGCAGTGGGACGGAACAGCCTTCAAGTGACTTCAGGTTTTCCATGATTGTCTAGCTTCCAGTGACTCATGATCTCAAGTATGGAAATCATATTATTATCCAATCAACTAATTTGATCAAATTAATAAGTAAAAATTAAAATATAAAAATCAACATTTAAACCAATAAGAAGTTGATAAATGAAGAAATAACTTTTAAAATAGACCTGGAAACAACAACAGTTAAATGGATATATTCCATTAAACTTGTATCTATGTGGGTATGTGTATATGTATGTGTGTATGTATATGTGTGTTTCTATGTAGGTATGTGATGAAAACATCACTTTGTCCTGTTTTCTCATATTTGAACTCACTATTATCATCATATTCATTTAAGTCTTATTTATTCATTCAATATCCTAATTGTTACTATGATATATGAATCAATTGGATTATATCTTAGTTACCATCATTATCATTATCCTTTAATTATTACGTAACTGTTATTTGATCATAAGAGTTTTGATAGTATCATTGTTATTACCATCATCACCATCAGCGTTGACAACCATATTCATCACTTTTGTTGAATGTTTTCACAAGTTTATCAAGTCAGTATATTTTAAGTAGTAAAAATTAGAAAACAAGAAAACAGAAAGGAAGAATAGGGAAAAGAAGTAAAGAAAGAAGACTAGAGAAAAGAAGAAAAGAGAGAAGAAGAACGGAGAAAAGAAGAATAGAGGAAGGAAGAAAAGAGAGAAAAAGAGAAAAAAAGGAGGATAGAGAAAAGAAAAGAAAATATAAGTTTACCTGTACAACGAACTACAAAAACATAGACACAGATACAAACATACACACATACATACATATCTACATACAAATACATAATAAACCTGTTTGGGGAATGTTTCAATGTTGACTGTATATTTTCATTGATAATATAAAAGTTTCTATCATTTACATGTTTCAACAAAGAAGATCTTTATCTGGAACGTATAACCATTGAATTATTGAACAAGTAAGTACTATGTATATATATGTATAATGTATACAATGAAATGTTAATCATACTTATAATAATGGGATCATTTTTAATATGGATTAGTGGATTTCTTCAAGTTAGACAATAATACCGTTAGATGTTTGTTGACTTAGTGGTCAATAGGTTAAGTGTTGGCGTTTGGAATCGAGATGTCTTGAAATCGAATCCTGTGAGCGGATTCGTAGATTTTTTGGCTATTGAGGAGTCCCATAGCAGAACGAAACGGCTGTGATTGACTCATGAATTAATAATAATTTATACTATTTTACTCTTGTTACTTATTACATGTGAGTAGTAATATTGTGATGAGAAAGTTAAGGTTTCAGTGTATATCATATTTCTAAGTACTATTGAACAATTTACATCAACTATCTATATATATAGACCAAGTAATATATACATATATGGCATATTGTTCGTTATGAATATCTAGACGCTCAGTAATACGGTAAGATACTCTACGATTATTGAGGTTCCATGGATCATGTATAGCGTTTTAAAGAGTTACTTTCCTACCGGATGATGTCGCTAACCATATGCCCAACCCTCCTTTATCCAGGCTTCACACCGGCAGTAACCTAAGAGAGGCTCCAATCTGAGTTATGGGTCATATTTAGTAAAGGTATACACCATAAAGAAATGATAGCATATGTACACTTGTCACCTATCGTCATTATCAGGGACTTCAGCATGATTCATTTTGAGCTACGATCTCATGATTGATTTGGTATAACAAGACAGTAGTCCTAAAATCAATATGATTTATGATATGCTGCTTTCATCATAAGTATTTTTATATGATCAGTGCTTGAAGTCACAATTTCCTAGTCTTATCCATATTCGGAGATGCAGGCTCCAATCTGAGTTATGGGTCATATTTAGTAAAGGTATACACCATAAACAAATGAATCCGGTGTTCATCATGTTGTGCTAATGAGTGAGGTGTGGCAACTTGGACCGATGCATATATATGCCTGGTCCTACGTTGTAGCTGATTGAATGACTGACTGACTGAACTGATCTATTCATTACTGTAACTGATATTTTGAAGGACCAACAGTTTTTTTCTAGTTTACCACTGATTAGTAATTGGATGACTTGAGATTTTGAAACCCTTAAATGAAAATATGTTCGTCTTTCTTTAAGCTTCTTTATATCAACCTATTACTGTATGAAATCAACAAGTTCTGAATAAAACGATTCATTAGTAAGACGATCATTTATGGACGAACCAATCATGGATAAGATGAAAGGTCTCGAATTTTAACGCGAAATTCATTCATCCATCCATTTGGTTCAATTGAGTTTTTGGCATGTTATCTCATGTCAGTTCGTAATGAAAACCCCCCTTTCTCACCCCCTTAAATTCCAGTCTTAGCCCTTAACCATCAATTGTATATCATAATCTTTATTTCTTCACACAGGTTTATAACCCCTTATTTGGCTTAAGTACTTAGGTGGATATTCTCAAGGTCATTTTAGGGTCATTCAAAGGTCATCCATACATTATAGTCTTATTAATAATAGAATATTGCCTACTACCTACTAACCTATCTAAGTAATAAGTAGTATTGTCATGCAATCGGAAATTTCGCTAACGGTATTCGTTGTTTGTATGCTTATTGTCCCTTTTAATCTAATAGTAAATATTCTATTCAAATTAGCTTCGTCATTCAAAACCAAAGTTTTTCCCTTTCCTGTCAATGATAATATAAATATCAGTAATCACATTTTTCTGAATCTTACAGATTTAATTGTACACGATTCATACAATTACCCGTGTGGTATATACTAATGACATTGATAGATATAAGTAGTATGTATCACTAATAGAAAGTCAAATACTCAGAAGCAGAAGGCTAAGTACTAGAACAAAGAAGTAATGGTGCTATTACGAAAGAACAATCAAGTCTGAGACGATTGATTGATATTTCGCTAATGATGATGATGATGATGATGATGATGATGATGATGATGATGATGATGATGATGATGATGATGATGATCTGGATGATGATGATGATCTGGATGATGATGATGATGATGATGATGATGATGATGATGATGATGATGATGATGATGATGATGATGATGATGATGATGATGATGATGATGATGATGATGATGATGATGATGATGATGATGATGATGATGATGATGATGATGATGATGATGATGATGATGATGATGATGATGATGATGATGATGATGATGATGATGATGATGATGATGATGATGATGATGATTCGAAACTATCCCTTCACTTCTATATTCTTTCATTCCAAATATGAAATCTGTTGTTCTATTGGAAACGTTTGTGACATTTATTCCATATGTTTTTTTATCAAGAAATTCAATCTTGTCTCATACTAGGAAGAAACATCCGTCCGATGCTTCCAGGTTTTCACTAACGGTCTAGTTTCAATTGATTCATGATCTCAACTATTAAAAAAATTACTAAAATATCCATAAGCTCGACTCCCCCTTTCTGATAAGAAACCGAAAGATTTAACTAATTATATCAATGATATGAAAAATTTATCGTTGTTTCTTTTTGTTGTTCTTTTCGTTTTACGAACTCCCTCATCCTCCCTCCCTCTGTCTCTCCCTCGTTCTCTCTCCCTCCATTTTATCCCAAGGGAATTCTAATGTATTTGCTTTACCAAATTTATATCATTAGTGAAATTAGTGAAAATACGATGAGTTTAGTTTTTCTAATTGATTTATTGATGAGACTATAATTTATGGATGACCTATGAGTAACACTAAAGTGACTGGGAGACTGTCCATCAACTAACTGAAGTTAAATGTGGGGTTATAAACTCGTGTGAAAACTAAAGATTAGGATTTATAGTTGATGGTTAAAGGTTAAGAATTTAATTTAGAAGGGGGGAACAGGGGGCTTTTCATCACGAACTGATATGAGCTATCATGCCAAAAACTCTATTTAACCAAATGAATGAATGAATGACTTGTTATCCTTCATCTTATTGATTAGTTTAGAAATTATAGTTTCACCTTATAAATTAAATAGAATTTATTTCGCTTTTTCATAAATGTAGAAATGACATTCAATTGATAGTTGAAATTTTGAGTAACTTGAAGCTAGACCACCTTGAAAAATCTCGAAGCACTGGATGGTAGTTTCGTTCTATTGTGGGACTCCTCAACAGGGCGCATCCAAGATCCCGCATCCCCCCGCGCGAGATTCCAACCCAACACCTATCAGTCACGCGCGCGAGCGCTTAACCATTACACCACTGAGTCAGCCAGCATCCAGCGGTGTTAAAGTTTAACTTCAACCAATCCACGAAATTGTGCCGTTTTTCACCATTGTCTTCAGTGAGCTGATATCTTACAACAGACCTGGTTGAAATCCATTGGTAACGGCTTCTCACTAGAACTCCAGGAAATGCCTCTTGAAGTCAGTCACTTGAAAGGAGTCCAATAATAGAACGAAATGGTAGTCCAGTGCTTCCAGGTTTTCTATTGTAGTCTAGCTTCAACTGACTCATCATTTCGACTATTGAAATTACTAAAATCTCTACAAAACCCCTTCTGATTCAATAATACTAATAACTTATAATCAATTCAGTAGTATTGCAATGAACGAGAACACAAATGGGGACAACCAAATATATCCCAATATAAGGTTACGGAATATCTTAGTAACATTTGAGAACCATACAATAAATACTTCATTTACAAAATGTCAATCAAATGTCTTAAACTCAGTTGTTCTTTCGTTTTCATACCAATCATTCTATGTTCTCATTCTCTTTTCTTCGATCTTCTTAGCTTTCTACCACTAGATATTTCACTTTCTATACATGATACATACTACTTATATCTGTCAACATCAGTAGCATATTCCACACGACTACTACTACTTTTAATAATAATAAGATATGAGATCATTCAAATGTATCAAATATATACTCATACATAACCTTACTTTGTTAACAACTGTAGGTAAACTCAAATATTTTTTGTTTCTAGGATACCGTCCCGCTCAGTTGTCTGGAAGTTAAGCGTTCGCCTACGAGACCGTTAGGCTGCAGTTTCGTATCCTGTTTGCAGAATCGTTGATGCGCATTGCTGAGGAATACTATACTAGGATGAAACGGCCGTCTAGTTCTTCCATGTTCTCCATGGTGGTTCAGCTTTAATTGAATTCATGAAAACACCTATTAAATTACTACAATCTCTACAAAACTCCCTTCTGATCATATTATTTGGTTAAACGAGATGCTAGATAAGTAGTTTGAAAGTTGAAGACTGTTTGTAACACTTAGTTATCCTGGCTTAGATCAGGAATGATAGTTGCTTACAAAATTCATACTAAGACATAGCAGTAGTATAATGATTTCTGATTTTCAATGATTAATTATCTAAAATCAGTTCAAGATGTATTTGTGAAATCTAAACTATTCAGCAGTGCGAAACCGCTACTTTACACCCGCAATCAAAACCCAAGACCTCTTAATTTCGGACGCGAACGCTTAACCTGTAAATCACCGAGCCAACTAGTACCCAGCTGTGTTAATGTCTAACTTCAATCAATTCATGAAAGTGTTTCACCGTGGTAGTCTAGCTTTAATGATTGTCTAATGAAATAAAAGATGTTTTCTTCTTTAAACTGAATTAATGCTATGTTTGAAGTGGTTATGAGTTCACTTAGACTACGAACGAAACAAAGAATCTATGACCAATAACCTAGATATTCTGACGCGTTCCAATTCTGCTAACTAGAGAGAGAAGTCGAAGTTTGGAACGGAAAAGTATATTGCACAAAAACTAAGAAGCACAAACGTTTGCAACAGATAGAAATCAAAGTGTTCATATACAGCACAAAACAGCGTTGCAAAATAGCATACTAAAAGACACAACAGATCCATCGCATTTAAGATTCTCTCAAATGGGAAATACAACATGAATGTGAAAATGAGCGCTTTTGGCACGAAAACAAGGAAATTCAATTTTTCAAAATAAAATTACAAAATTAAGTCCTTTTCCCAAGTGAATTTTGGGGATTTAACATCCCCAACAATCCACATCAATGTACAGATTGATTATAACAACATTTAACATCATACGAGAACTAGCCATCACATTAGTTCTCTATTATTCTCACTTACATAGGGTTAACTTATTCATTAATATTCATAATAATATATTTATCGATATCATAATGCATAAGAAGAAAGATGAGATGTTTCGTAACTTAACGTAAGCTACTTCTTCAGAAAATATCTATTATAGAAAAGAGAGAGGGGGACAAATAAAAGATAGAAAAATACACTTCATTTTTTGAAGGTCATTCTAAATTTGATGTGAAGGTTCAAAATGGGCAAATAACCCCCACCACATTGTTGATCTTATCTCTAAGAGAAAAAAATATGAAAAAATGTGGATAAATTATCTTGGTATAACGTGCTGATATTAATTTACTTAGTTATGATTAAAACAAAAAAAAAGGAAGAAAATAATAAAGAAATATGACCAATGAAGTTTTTCTTTTTCTTTTCTTGTTGTTGTTGTTGTTGTTGTTGTTGAATAGACAGAGAACTAAAGAAATAAGATCATTTTATAGAAATATTGGCGAGACTCTTATTTATGAACGAGCTGATCAGGAGCGTTTTAGGGAATTCAAGGTTACGGCGCCGACTTCAGTGCTTAATACTAATGTACGATCGGTTCACAAGGAATTTTGTACTAAAAGTATTGATTGGTCAGCTATAAAAAATGAAACGGTGAGACTATAATTTATGGGCGAATCAATCAGGTATAAGATAACGGATCTCGGATTTTGTCGCAAAAGCCTTTCATTTATTTGGCCAAACAGATTTGTAGTATTATAGTTGAGGTCAGTTCGTGATGGAAACCCTATATATAATTCTTAACTAAAACAACTTATGAAAATTATTGCGAACTGGATAATAAAAGCACCAGTAACACTGGCTGAAGTCAGGTATCAGAATATATACGGATGATTGGAGAGCGTACAGACTCCTACATAGTCTTCTTCATGTGCATCGTGTCGTTATCCACAAGTGGCATTTTGTGTGCTCAACAACTGAAGTGCACATAAACAATATTGAAACTATGTGATCGAGGCTGAAAGAGTTTTCGAGGCCGACTATTCTGTAACTGTATGGATGATTTCCTCTACTGAATGCGTTAAGATTGTTGGAACCTCTGAACCCCTTACTAACCTCGACAAGTTTTTGAACCACATGTAAGAATTGTATTCACTTTAGTTCCTTGTTTTTGTATAATATATTTTTACTATATACTGACTGTTCGCTTATTTCTCAAGGTCACTTAAGATTCGTTCAAAGGTGCTTCATAAATTAAGGTCTCGCTGAAATATTTAATAATTTCAATAGTTGAAATCATGAGACGATTGAAACTAGAATACCATAGAAAATATGGAAGCACAAAACGGTCGTTTCGTGGTAGTATTGGACTCTAAAGCAGTGGGCATCTATTATACCCCCCCAACACACACAAAACCCCTTCTGATAATAATCATATACTCTTTAGTATCTGATTTCAAGAGGCATTTCCTGGAGTTCTAGTGAGAAGCCGTTACCAATCGAGTTCAACCAGGTCTGTTGTAAGATATCAGCTCACTGAAGACAATGATATACGGTGGCGTGATTTCATGGATTGGTTGAAGTTAGACATTAACAGAGTTTGATGCTGGCTGGCTCAGTGGTCTAATGATTATGCGCTCGCACTCGAGACTGACCGGTTCTGGGTTCGAATCTCGATCGGCGGGATGCAAGATCATGGATGCGCATTGTTGAGGAGTCCCACAGTAAGACGAAACGTCCATCCAGAGCTTTGAGTTTTTACATGGTGGTCTAGCTTTAACTGATTCATGATCTCAACCATTGAAATTACTATAATATCTACAAAAACCTTCTGAAAATATTCAATAATAATAATAAGTATTTTTTATTTGAATCATCATATTGATTAAGATTTTATAGCTATGATGATATTGAAATGATGTTTGAAGTAAACGATAGTGGTTTAGATCTCTGAAATGATAGATAAGCACTGAAATATAGGAATATCCAACTGATAAGTCTCAAATAGGACGAAACGTGTGTCACAGATTCCACTTCTAACCACTATCCATCTATGATTAAAATGCTTATGAATTATGGCAATATCGAGGCAATACGCACAGTATGCACATATGCTTATAAGAGACTGATCAATTGCAGTCATAAATATCAAT